ATCGATTGGATTCTCAATATAAAAAATGAATTATAGTCAAGAAAGTTAGTTGACTCCGATGCAGGTCTCTATTCTTCATATAAACAATAGTGTCTTTAAGAGACTATTTTTGTTTGAAAGTTCCTTATCAATAATTTCCGGAATAAGTGTACTATAGTGAATTATGTATTATCTACGAAAACAAAATAAATTATGAAAGATGGGATTATGTATTTAATAAAAAACTTTTATAATTTATCATAAAAATCAGTATTTGAAGAATGAGAAACTGTTACACCTAATACTAATGATGAGATAACACCAAAAAGTTCAATAAAGAAAATACTAGTTAATATTCCAACAATCATTGGTAATTCATTCCATATCCAAATAACAATGGCTTCTGCACAACTTTGACTAAATGAATTTTCTTGTAAGATTTGATTTGGATAACAAGATGAAGGAATTGTATGACCATATTTAATATAATCTGTATAACTATTAACACCACAACATTTACGATCTTGTTCGAATTGTTCAATAATTCGAATTATTTCTGTTTGATTATAACGATAAGCACGTTGAAATATATTTTCAAAATTAGAATTATACAATTCCCAGAAATCATTACGAAATCTTAATGTTATAATAATACCAACAAATTCAAATACAATAATAAGTGAAAGTATGATTGAATATATATAAAGAAAATCTCGATTATGATAAACAGTACCTAAACAACCAAATATTGCTAAACAAATAGTTGCTATACCAATAATAATCATAAGTATTCCTATTCGTTGCAGAACTTCTTTATCAAATATTTGACTGATATCATAAGTAATAATGATTACACTAAATTTTCCATTGACTTTAATATGAATCCCTATGATTAATAATAAAAAATCAATAAGAAGACATATAATATTTAATACAAATAGTATTGTACGTATAAATTGAATACCACATGAAAGACGAACCATGTCTGATAAATTTGTTGTTTAAGTATGATAAGAAAAATGATGAGATGCATATGTCTATTTATATTGATAGATAATGTATATTTAGATGAAACGTGAAAGATATTGATTCAAATGATAATAATACACTAAAGAGTCATTACATAATTTTTTTCTAAAACAGCTATATTATTCTCATGTGAAAAGCAAATGTATTTTTTTTGTTAATATTGATAATTACATTCTATGTAGAACATTCCTTACTCTTCCTGTCGGTCATGACTCATTGTCGTAATGACGATTTTGTTGAGTGCACTTTTATTTTTCTGTATATAAAAACATATTTTCATGCGGTATAATTATTACGTTAGAAAGATACGATGAAGAGCGATGTTGATGTTATTATCATTGGTGCTGGTGCAGCTGGTCTTGCTGCAGCAATTGAATTACAATCAACTGATTTAACTTTTCTAATACTTGAAGCTCGTAATCGAGTAGGTGGTCGAGCACATACAGATCAAAATACATTTGGTGAAACATCTATCGATCTTGGTGCTAGTTGGATTCATTCTTATGGACCAAATAATGTATTATACAATTATCATAATACTTTCAATATTGATTCACATAAAAATCAAAGACATGGTAGCATTATTTGTGTTGATTATGATGGTAAACCTTTTACAAGTGAAACATTTATTCAAGCACGATCAATATATGAACATTTAGATTCATATATATCTTATAACAAGAATGATGAAAACGATCAAAGTATTGAACAAGTTATTCAATCAGAATATGAACGATTAGTACCAAGTCATGGACCAGTTAAACGTTTAGTTGATCTATTACTTTCAGGTTGTGAGCAATATGAAGCTGGTAATTTTGTACATCTTTCAGCGAATCAATGGGGTGTTGGTGAAGGTACTGGATCTGATCAATGGGTATCATCTGGTTATGGAAAATTATTAGAACAAATTGCTGATAAACATAATTTACCGATTCAATTAAATACTCTTGTTACAAAAATCGATACAACAAATAATGAACGAATAGTTATTACAACAATGAATAGTACATCAAAAATCTCATGTCGTCGAGTAATTATTACAATTCCTTTAGGTTGTTTAAAATCTGAAACAATTTTATTCGAACCCCCATTACCTGATTGGAAACGTCAAGCTATTAATCATATGGGTTTAGGTTTAATGAATAAACTTATCCTTCAATTTCCACAACATTTTTGGGATACAAATGCTAGATCTTTTCTACATGCATGTAATGAACGACGTGGTCGATTTCGATCTATAATTTGTCTACCACCGCCAGCGAATATTCTTATCCTATTTGTTAGCGGTATATTTGCACGTGAATTAGAAGCATTAACAGATATTGAAATTCTCGAACATATAATGAAATTTCTTCGACAAATCTTTTCTGAAACTATTATACCGGATCCAATTAATTATAAATTTACACGATGGGCACAAGATCCATTAGCTTATGGTTCATATTCAAATTTTGCTGTTCATTCAAGTCGTCATACTATTGAAAAATTAGCAAGAGAAACTTCAAATGGTCGAGTACAATGGGCTGGAGAACATGCTAATATAGATGATGGTACAGAAGATTGGTCGTATGGTTGTGTTCATTCAGCTTTTCAAAGTGGTCAAAGAGCAGCAAAAAATATTCGAGATCAATTATGTACTTCCTAAAAACAAATTCTTTTATTTTGTGATATATTCTCATAGACTAAATATAAATGCATGTAATGAACTCTTTCAAATGATGCTATTTACTGTTTATTGAATAAAATATTATGTATTTTTGCCTGTATGATAAGTATACTTAAACAATCACGTTCAACTCTTTACGCTTCAAGTATTCTCAATACTTTTCTTTTTCTTATTATGCACAATTTATGTCTCATGCGTACATATATGGGCACTAAAAATACGTAAAGAATGTTATATTATCTTGTACAAGTTGAAAATCATTATGGTCTGTTGAATGACAATAATCCTTAAAATTCATTTCAAAGTTAAATCATTTTAATTAAAATGCTTTTATCAAATGTCAGTTATTGTATCTTTTTTAATGTTTAAACGAACTTTCAAAGGATTCTGAATATTTGATTTTTTGTATTACCGTTGAATTTGTTTTTCTTTGTAATCAATGAGAGAAAAAAAAAGTTCTATGAAACACTATATAAATATGATTAGAATAGGATAATAGAAATTCTTTTTCTTTTTTCAATTCAAAATTTAAAACTTCTGTTATTTCAATATATATTAAGAGTAAACGAAAATAATCCTATATTTATATTCTTTGTATTAGAAATATAATTATTTCAAGTGGTTTTCTTTTTAACTGAATTGATTATAGAAGTCTTTTTTATTTTATTTTTTTCATCAAAGAAGAAGAAAAAAAAACGAAAATCATTACTACTCGAAATATCAATAAATTATATGTAAAATTACAATTAGTCATAGAGTTTATCATAGGATGAATGCGAAATTGCAATAGCTAATGCAATTGAAGAAATAACACCAAAAATTTCAATTAATAAAATAATACATAAAACACTTGCTACGATTGGAAGTTGATTCCATAACCATGTAACAACTGCATGAGCACAACCTTGATTGAAAATAGGTTTATGAATATCATTATTATGATGACATGTTGACGGAATTGTATAATTATTCTTATAATAATCTGTTACATTTTCAGCACCACAACATTTAAATTCGCGTTCCATACTTTCAATAAGATCTGTAAGATCTGTACGATTTTGATTATAAGCATGATTAAAGAATTCTTCAAAACCTGAATGATAACTATCACGAATAGCAACTCTTGAACTTAATATTATAATAAATGCAACTAATTCTGTAATGATAAGAAGACTAAGAATTACAGCATATAAATATAAAAATACTCGATTTTTAAATATAGAACCCAAACAACCAAAAGCTGATAGTAATATAGTAAATACAGCTACAATAATTAAGATGTATCCTACATCTTCCAAAGCATTTCCACCAATAATTCTTGTATTTAAATGTTCCGATAATGCAATATCAAGTTTTTTATTAACATTGATATATATGCCAAAACCCAGTAATATAATAGAGACTATTGATAAAGAATGTCCAGAGTGTGGGTGTGAGCCTTGTTCTTATCTCACATCGATACTCACACTCAAACACCCACACCTACATTCAGTGATACCAACTGTCATAGTCAGAAAACCGGAATTCTAATATGAAGATCCGGAAAATTCCGGAAACTTTTTTACCAGTTAGTTTCTATCGGCTAAAATCAGTTTCTCTAAATCTTGTTCTCAATCATACCGCTTATTATTTCAAAAAACACATGTTTCAATATATCAAAAGAAAATCAACATCAAAATTCAGAATATAATAAACTAAATATATAAGAAGTATAAGCCACTGAGCCGTTGTCAAATAAAAAATTTTTTTTAAGTATTAACAGATGAAAGTAATTTAGTTCAATAAAAATAATCTAAAATCCGGAATTTGTCTGGAAAACCGGAAGAGTTGACAACACTGCCCACATCCGCATCACCCACGCCCTTTTATTTTCGATATTTCTGGCTTTGGATGTTTTTCTTTTTCGGCATTTTTTCGTTCGACGCTATACCGTAGGATCAAGATTTTAAATTTGTTAGTTTGCGATGATATTAATGAGTTGATCCGAATGCGGATGATCAACTCGATGAATAATACAAAAGTGCATTTATCGACAAACATTCAGTTACAAGAAAAGAAATAGGACCTCTTTTCGTCTGAATATCCTTTATGAACGATATAATACCAAAAATAAAAAATAAAATATTCAAAATGAATAAGATTGTACGTGTACATTGAATACCACATGAAAAACGAGACATAATTAAGCTTTGTTTTTAATTTAAGAACTGCATAGAGATCTCTTTTTATATAGAGAAAGATAACAAGCAAAGATAAAATGAGTAATACTGATATTCGCTAGGTAAGATTTTATCAGGTGAAATTAGTCAATTAGACGTTTACTCATTTTTATAAAAAGAATAAATAGATGATATTGCAAAAATTATTTATTTTGATTTTATGTTGTGTAAATTTTCAATTTTATTTCAAACGTCTAGATTTTATTAAAATTAAAATAATGGAATACAATATTAATTGATTATATACTTGTGCTTCAATTGCTTTTCAAGTGACAAAGGCCATTTTTATTTTTCTTTGACATTAATCGTCTACGTTAGTAATTAAAAATCGATATTATCGAAGTATATATGTTATTCAACTATCGTTTTTAAAGTAAAACTAACCATTAAAGGCCGTTCTCTTTCTCACCTAGAAAATGTCAAACTTGTCCTCTGATAATCGTCGATATTTATGTCACATGAATAAAATGGCACCTGTTGTTATGAGAATTTTTTCGTTTTTTTTTCGAATATAACTTTCTTTTCTTTTTTTTTCAATTATAAAACAAGTAAAAATGTTGATTGAAATATGTAAGAATAAATAAACATTACCAATTATAAAATTATACGAGACTATGTATACCTTAGAAATATATATAACTATTTATTTGATTTTTACTATTGCATTTCGATTTCTTCGCTTTTCTTTTTTTTCACGCACTATCGTATGTACAAAAAGAAGAGAAGAAAAAATGAAAAGAAATTAATAAATAACTAACACAACGAGATGCGATATCGTTCGTTGACATACATACACAGGTGTGTGTAAGTAGAAAAAAAAGAAGAGAAACCAAATGGTGTTTATTTTGAAATACGCAAAAAAAAATGAAGATGAAGAGAAGAAGAAATCAAAAATTGAATCGTGCTCTTTTACTATTCTATGCATAAAAAAAGAAAGAGTAATTTTATCGATTTTGTAGACGATAATCGTCTTTTTTTTCTTTCGTTTTTTTTATATTCAAAAAACAGAATTGACATAAAACATACAATGTATATATATATATATATATATATGTAATCTTTTACTCTTATGTATAAAATCAATGAGAATAAGTATAGTGACAAAATAATTTCAACTACAACGGCAATCTAATGAAAGTCAAGTGTTGTATGTAGCTGACATGATCGATATATATCTATATTATGATTTGTTTGTCATAGTTAATGTTACTATCATATAGAAATAAAGTGAGTGTCTATACAGGCGTTTTCATTTTCAAGTATTATTATTTTTTTTTTCTGTAAATATGTACTGTATCTTATTGATATTCTTATACATAGAGAGAAAAAAAATGAGAAAGTATCTTTTAATATTGTTCAAAACTTCAAAGTATATCGATTTCTTTTGTATGAAAAGAAAATAGAAGAGAGGGGCGTTACTTTTATTTTATCACATACGTTATGAATCAATTCAGTACATACATAACACAGTCTATTGATCGTTTGCAAACAACAAGAAACGGAAATTGAAACGTTCGTTCTGTTGCTGCCGACAGACAGAAAATGAGCCTTCTGATTATGCTTATTTATTGCTTGAGAGATCGATCGAGTGTGTGTATATATGTATAACGAATTGAAAACTGTTGGTCTACCTAAATGAACATTTGTATTCTTTTTTTTTTTCTTAAATGAGCATACGTCTGAAGAGTAATTTGTTCACATATACATTTATATGTATTTATATCCATCTGGAGTAGTATGCGTTCGATCAATTTAAAAGAAATTCACCGATGTGTAGCAGACGCGTGTCTGTTATCTCTTTTTCTTTAGTGAAGTGAATATCGTTCATCTCATCATCATCATTTTTTTTTCAGAACTATTCTTTCTTCCGCTTCCCATATTGTCCTAATCACCTCGAGCAGCAAGAGGTGAACCGTTAAAAGTCGATTGCATATCAGGAGAAAAAAAAACGAGAAGAATCATCGAACGTTGTCCATCATCAACTCGCCTGACTGCCTTGAATAAACATCCAACTAGGCTTCTTCTTATTCTTCTGTCTGTTATGTTTTCATTTTGGAGTGCCTTTTCCGTTAGGCTGCTTGTTTTCTAAGATTTATTATTTGTATCATCAGATGAGACATGCTGTGATAGTAGTGCACTGGTCTTATCCATATATACATATCGACAGAATTTTTTCATCTACAATGTGTATATGCTTTTCTTCGATCTCATTCATTGTTGCATCACACAGCGTGATCCAAATCGTATGGGGAGATATTTTAAGAAAGAAATGATATGTCAATGCTTTTTATATGAATAGAAAGAAAAGGATATTAGAACATTATTTTCTCTAGAGAAAGTCAAAGATATATGATCATCTTCTTCGCTTCTCATTTATTTTTTTGCTAAGAATAACAAGAATAAAAAATTTGTTTTCACTCAGATTATCTGATTCATTACATCTGTTCAAGATAGATAAGAATATTCTTTGCTCTTTAAGTTTTTCTTTTTTCAGTTTGAAGAATATCAGTTTTTGAAATATATTCATCTATAATCGGAAATATTGTTTCCGTTTTTCAAACTTTGATGTTATTTCCTGTTTAACCTTTTGTCAATTAGTTTCGATAGATTTGTAAATATAAACAAACAAGACAATGTTGCTGATTTTATATTTGAATAATTCTTTAGCAAAGAAATAAAATAATTTAATATTAGCCGAGTCTTTTCTTTTTTAGTTATATATGTTATACTAATTTTTTTTTATTGTTGTTGTCTGATGAATTTTAAGAATTTGACCTTTTGATCTTTTTCTTTTCAGTAATACTAAAAGAACACACCAGATGTTCTTTCTACTAAGATATTGATCATCTTCTTCCTCATTTTTCAATTAGATCCGTGTGTCGCTTCCGTTCTCTCTCCCTCAATCGGGCAAAATCCGAACGATATACGTGCATGTTCTGTCTTTCTTTTCTCATATATACATGTATGTGTGTACACATGTATTGAAAATATCGTACAGTAGTATGACGCGTGCCTGCTAGACGATAATGATGATGAGCCAACGGGGTTGCTTGATTTTGAAAGAGAGAAAAAAAAGAAGAAGAAGAAGATGGGCATCTCGCTTGCTTCTGCTACGTTAGTTCTTCTCATATAGAACAAAACTAATAAATCTTCTTCTTCTCTCTCTCTCCTCTTCTTCTTTTCTATTGTACATATTTCTCTCTTTCTATTTAGATTTTCTTTTTCTCTCTGTCTTCGTTTTTTTTTCTTGTCTGATGCATCGTCTCAAATGATGATCATTCAAGACGAGCATATATTGAAAGCAGAATCAACAATGATTGGTGATAATAATTCAATAATAAAAGAAGATGAAATCAATGATTTGTCAATAACAAAAATGAATAATGAAAAACCTCATGAAGATTTATTTAAATCATCTAATAAACGAAAACAAATTAAACCCAATCGGTAAGTTAATTCAATCAAATAATTCAATAATTTTTTTTTTATTGCTCTCACAGAGTTACGAATGATGATGAAGGCATTCCGACAGGTAATAAATTAAAATTTATTTAAAAAATAAAATATTCTTCTTCTTCTCTTAGATTTGACCAATGGTCAATCACCTTTATCAGATAATAATAATTCTGACCAACATTCTCCTAGCAAAGCTTTTTGTAATTTATGTGAACGTTCATTTTGTAATAAATATTTTTTAAAAACACATTTTGCTAAAAAACATGGAGCTCTTAATATGATTTCTCCATCATCATCATCAACAACAGAAATCAATACTACCACCAATCAATCTTTATCGCCTTCACCATCATCACCACCACCACCACCTCCAACAATTCAATCAATTGATCAACAATCATATCAAAAAATTAGTGAAGATTATTGCGAAGTTTGTTTGAAAATAAAAGTCAATAAAATAATTTCTTTTGTCTTATAGATTTGTCAAAAACGTTTTTGTAATAAATATTATCTTCGTGTAAGTAATCAACAAAAGAAAATTGAAATTAAGTCACGTTCATTGTTTACATTGCCTGAGAAAGAAGGACTCATAGTTTAAATATTCAAAACATTGTCAAGCACGCACACTAATAGATTGCTTTACTTTCGTTCAAACTACTGTTTGTAGAGATTACCTCTTTTGTTCAAAAAGATGTGATGTTTAATTTTAGATGAATCTTTCTTTCGTAGTTTGCTTCTTTTTTTTCTGCTGTATTTCGATGTAAATATTGAAGAGGGGAGAGAGAGAGAGAAGAGAACATTGTGAACATCTTCAAAAGATAGTAGAAACGAGGGAGCTTATCTGACTTTTAATAAGCTTATTTATCCACGAACGAACGAATGCATACCAGAATAAACAATTCGTTAGTCAAGATGTGTAAAGGATTAAAATTGAATTCCTTCTTCATTTTTTTTTAAATAGAAACACAAGGGTGAATGTCATGGTGTCTATACAGATTATATAAAATCATTACAAAAAAGTGCTAATGAAAGCCCGGTCAAAAATAATACTAGTCGACCTACGCAAGGTAAATTGAAAAAAAAATTAATTTCTATTTCATTTAAATTCAATTCTTCTAGTTTCATCAAATATGCTTCTAATAAATCCATTTTATCTTCCAACAACAACAACAGATGTTAAACCACTTTTCCTAGGAAATAATAATAATAATAATGGAAGTGTATCACCATCATCACCAGTGCCATCCATAACACCGTCGTTAAATGTTTTTACTCAACGAACGATTCGTCGTTGTAATGTATGTCAACAAGAATTTCGTAATAAAGCTCTTTTACGTATGCATATGAATACATTTCATCCAAATGAAATAAATAAAAAAAATTTAAATCATAAACCAATTATAAAACAACAACCACCACCAACATTTCCAATTTCACCATCAAATACTAATTTAGGATTTTTACAACCCTACGTTGATACAACTAGTCCACTTGCACATAAACTTGTTGCTGGTCAAGCACCACAAGCATCCTATGGAATTCTTCATGATTCATATTTTTGTGCTAAAATGGCTGATCGAGTTGTTTGTGAAATATGTAATAAACAAGTTTGTAATAAATATTTTCTTAAAACACATAAAGGTATGACTATAAATAAAAATGAATTTAATTCTTCTAAATTCTTTATTTAGCTAAAGTACATGGAATAATTAACGGTACAAATCATATTTTAAATGGAAATACAGATAATACACCACCAACTATGGTACCATCGAATACTCTTCATCAATCAGCATTAACAGATGTGATTAAATCACCATTAGCAGATAATCCTCAAGATGAACAAATCGATAATGATACTGGTATAAAATCTAATAAACATATCACCTAATATCTTTATGAAAGTAATTGTTGTATTTAGATAATCCAATATCGGAATCGAATGATAATAATGAGAATACGGATACATATTGTTCTATATGTAAAAAAGATTTTTCAACAAAATATTTATATTTATTTCATATGCAAACATTACATAATGATACATCTGATTTAACATATCAAACTCTAATACAATTTATGAAAGCAGCTAGTGCTATGAATGAAAATTCAATACCAAATCCATTTTTATCTTTAGCAGCGGCTGCTGGAAATCATATTGAACAACAACACGAACAGGAGCAAGAACAAGAGAGTGAAGATGAATCAGATGGAAATATTGAACAATTAAAACGTAAACGAAGTTTAAGTCAATCATCGACAGATACAAATAAACGTAGAAATTCTCTATCAGAAACTAATGGTGGTTTACAACCATTTTTACTCGAAAGTGAAGATCCAAAATTTGCACATACATTTGTTCCATGTATGGTTTATTTACCTGTTATACGACGAGTGACAAAACAAGTCAAAATTAATTTACGATTAAAACCTGTTTTATCTGACGCTTCATCTTAATATTCTTTAATAATAATAAGAAAATATTCACATAAGTGTGTGCACGTGTGTTTGCTGTTTGTTTTCATTTTTTTTTCAACAATGTTTGTTTTGTGTACTAAACGTAAAAGTTCATTATTCATTACATAAGAATGTTGAATAGAACCATCATTTTCATCTAAATTCTTGAAGAAAACATATAAGTAATGTTTTTATTGCCATATTATAAACATTCATAAATATACTATATTATTAAAATAATAATCATAATTGGTATCCAATGAAGAATGAGATGATTAAATTCATCTGCTCATTCAAAATACTAATAAAATAAATAGGGGTGGGTGTGGGGCGTTGGTGAGGTTGAAGGGTAGTCAGTCAAC